GGCCTGCGCCCTACTCCTTTGAGCCACAGGCCTTGCCCTAGACAGTCTCAAGCTTTTGCCCTGGGTAGAGTGCCATTGTGTCATCATAGCTCACAGCAACCTCAAACTATTAGACTCAAGCAATTTTCTTGCCTCCGTTTTTCTATTTTTTAGTAGAGACAGGGTCTTGCTCTTGCTCAGGGTAGTCTCGATCTCATGAGCTTAAGCAATCCACCTGCCTCGGCCTCCCGAGTACTAGGATTTATAGGCGTGAGCCACTGCGCCCGGCCTAGTTGTCTATTTTAAAATTGCACATGAACTTTATGGCCACCCTGTATTTTTAAAAGAAAGACCGTATGTGTTCTTCAAGGCCAAAGATTTTGTATCTTCAGTACTTTGCAGGTACATCACAAATGTTTGATGAATGAAAGGTATTTAAGTAATCTTTTAATGTTACTTTCTCTCCATAGGCCAGTGAAACTCTTACAGTGTGTGGACCACAGCACTCATCCTGACTGTGCTTTAAAATCGTAAGTAAATGTTTCATCCAAATCTCCTTTCTCTCCGAAGATAACGAGTCCTTGGTATTACAGAACACTGGTGAATTGCAGTTCGGTTTGATACACACCCCCTGAAATGTCCCACTGCAGGGTAGGGTCAGTCCTTCTGCATTTGGTCTGTCTGAGCTCCTTACTAGATTGGGGCAGATTTGGGAGGCTTGTGCTGGGCTGAGCCCAACTCACCGTGCACAGCAAAGCGGGAGGCAGCCGGATGCCATCCTCTGCTCCTGCTGCACTTGCTTCAGCAAAAATTCCTGGAGTGGGCAGGGGAAGACCTCTTAACATTTCTAACTTAAATTTCTATTAACATTTTTGAATATGTACACATGGGACACAATTTAAAATTAAAAGGCTAGAGAAAGTAACTCTTTCTTCCTCTAAGTCACTTAATTCCCCTGCCCAGAGATGACACTCGAGTTTCTTGTGCTCCTTCTAGACTCCCATGTGCCTGTAACAACCCACAACCTCCCTTTTGTTTTATTTTTACAAGCAAAGGTATTCACAGGATTCTTGCTTTTTTCACTTAACAGTATATCTCGGAGCTGACACTGTACTTCTAGATGCCACCTCATTCTTTTTAACAGTTCTCTCAGAGTCTACTCTGTGCAAGTACCATGATCTATTTAACCCCACTGGCCACAGGCAGACATTTAGATTGTTCCCAATAACAGTAAGAGGATTTCTTTTCCCTCACCTCCCATTTCCCCAGAGTAATTTCTTTTAACATTTTGGTCCATCCCCTCCCAGAAGTGTTCAGTGCATGAACATACATGTATGTTATCCGACACAGACATGTGTTCATCTGGTCTTGGCTTGGCCTTATTTTCCTTTATATTTATTTGTCTTTGTACAAAAAGTAGTCACGATGTACGTACCATCCTGTTGTGGGCCTTCTTCACATAACAGGTGCATCCTCTGAAGTCTGTTCAGACTTCTGCTTCAGTCTGTTAGTGGCTGCAGGGCTACAGGGTGGCTACACCACGGTTCGTGTCATCTTTTCCCAGTCAGAGGCTATTATAGTATTTGGTTTGCTATTATAAAAAATACTGAAATATGACTGGCGTATGCACCCTGAGGCAAGCCCCCCCCCCGCCGCCAGCATGGCAGAACAACACAACAGGAGGCCAGGGACCCCATGTCATGGAGTCACTGTGTCAACCCTGGGCAGTTACAGAGGCAGAAATAAACATCGACAGTCTCGAGGGGCATTTTGACAGGGACCAAGCCTGTATCTGAACCAACGTGGGTCAGTGCTATTATCTTCCCTTCAGAGTTGAAGAAACTCTGGCTGGGAAAAGTTAACGAAGGACTCAACCAAGCCTACCGAGCTGGTGCAGGCAGAGCCGAGGTCTGAAGACTTCTACGTGGCTACCTGTGTTCACTCAGCAGGCATCTGTTGTCTCCATTTCTCCATTGGAAGAAGATTCAACAACTCCAGTATGTGGACTACAGCCAGCGTCCCAGTTCAGGGATGGCTTTAAGCCCTCTCTGCACACTCTGCTATTAACACTTGTGCATTTGGTGTGCATTTTTGTGAGTCCTCTCACAGAAGCTAGAGAATATTCTACAGACCTGGGTCTTCCCTTTCCTCACCTGGAAATGAAGTCCATCCCTGCTGTTCAAAAACCTTCAAGGGTCCCTACCACCATAAAACCCTCTTTCCTACTCCCAAGTTCAGACTGGCCTGACCTTCCATGTCCTTCTACTCTTCCTGAGCACGCCACCCACGGCTTCTCCCTGGGAACTCTCATTTCGGGCTAGTTTTGATCCCTTTCCCTAAAGCCATCATGTGCTTTTCCACCCATAAGTTTGTGCACACTCGCCCTTTTGGCAGGACCAAGGGCTCAGCAGTTGAAGTCACACGTCCTGATATCTGCAGTTTTCTTATCTACGAGGCCTCCAGCAGCCTATCCTGACCTTGATGGGTAAAATTACGTCTCCATCATATAATTCTGGCTCCCCAAAGGCCCTCCTGGGGCTCTACTTTTCTTCTTTAGAGTGCTTATCATCTTCTGGGTGACTGGCTTGTGACGTTTAATCATAACTGCCCATCTCCCAACTGTTTGAACTTGAGCCCTGGAGAGAGGGGCGGGGACCTTGGCTCTTTGATGGCAGTATTCTGATAACCTAGAATGAAGCTTGAAACCTGATAGATACTCGGCAACAGAGCAATGAAGGAACCCTCCTGTGATTGGCTTCCAACCTGTTTGGAGGTGCTGGGCAGCGGGAAGGAAGGATAGATGTCTACAAGAAACTCAGCAAGATGCCCGGTGGCAGTGTTGCATAAATCCAAGGTTGTGATTGCAGAAGATGGGAACCAACTGTGGCTCACTTGGGGGGTAAAAAGCGAATAAGGAGGTTCAGAGGATTTAAGAAATAGACTGTCGTGGCCGTGGACCACGACCTGGTTGAGAGGCGACAGGGAAACGACACTAACCTACACACACTTTAAACAGAGCCTGTGAACGCCTGGGGAGAGCTCATAATACTCCACGAGCAGCAGGCTGGGCCAGGGCAGCCGTCTCTGGCTTCTTCAGAAGGCTTTTATTGGTTTCTAACAAACAAAAGGGCATGTACAAAACGCAAAAATGCCAAAAGATAGGGTTAAAAGAAGCCCAAGTCCCCAGGAAGATTGGATAAAGGGAAAGGCTGGGTAAAGGGGGCCACAGGGTAGGGGGTTGCTAACAAACGCTGTAGCGTATTCAGAAAGGGGGCGGGGAAAACCAGTTTCATCCCCGCAGGGGAGGTAAGCCAGGTTCCCTAATCTAACCACAGATCCGGAGTTCAAAGGATTCAGCGCTGCTTCAGTCTCGCCCCACCTGTTGACTCCGGGGCGCGTAGGGATAGTCCTTCAGTCTCGCCCCACCTGTTGACTCCGGCGTGTAGGGATAGTCCGGCCTGTCGGGCGGCATCCAGGCTCTTTTCGTCTTTGGTGGTCTTGATGAGCCCCCAGGGATCGCACGTCCTCTCACTTTACCTTGGATACCCCTGGGTTGAGGCGGGACGCTCAGCTGAGAAGTCAACAGTCTATCGCATAGTAGACGTTCTAATGAGCCTGGACTGGATGAGGCCTGAATGGGGAATGTGAGGACTGTGACAGCATTGCTTAGGTCGGTACCCTTTTACTTCTCTCACTAACCAGACTACCAGACTAACTTTCACAGCACAGATCCTCGGTTTTACCCACCATTCCCCAAATAAGCCAATGGCGTCACCCTGGCACCAGCGCCCCCGCTGAATAGAGAGTGTGAGGTGATGAGGGTGGCTCTCCTCACCGTCTCAGGCGTTTCTGAGCACTTGGGACATGCCAGGCTTCTAGCTGGCACCGGGAGTCATTTACTTTTTTGGTCCCAATCACATTCCCAGAAGGAGGGCAGTTGGACCCTCATCAGTGAGATAAGCAGTCACTTCAAGTCCCTGGGGACTGGTTAGAGCCGGAAGTAACACCCAGCTTGTCTGGGGGTAAAGTCCTTGTCACATCACATCACACTGCCTCAAAGTGTCACTGAGTCCACGCCACTGCAGGTGAGCGGAGGTTTGTAGATCTTTACCTGCTCTCCTCCCTTCTTGGCGACATTCTTTCAGGGATTATTGGTAGATTTATTCTTGACAGCTCTGCCCAAATTCCTTTGAATGTCAGGAACAACACCCTCTTTCGCTCTCTGCCATTTTTTCCCTCCACTTTGTTGCTCTGGCAGTTTTTTACTAATCTCTCTCTTTTTTTAATGGTAGCAATGAATATTGGTAGGTAATTTACATGAGAGGAGCCGAAATAGCGAATACACACAATTACTTAATCACTCTCATAATGAAACAAATTCAATCAGATGTAATTTACTCCTCAGATTCATTGACATACTTTAACAAAAAATAGTAGGAAAATCTCTTAAAGATGTGATCCAATGCTTTTTAGCAAAATGGTAAAGTGCTTTGGGAAAACAATTTGGCAATAGGTATTAAGAATTATAAAAATATAATCTTTGACCTCAGCCAGACTTCAAGGGTACTTTTGGTGACTTATTCTCAAGAGATGATTCACAAGGCAGATGGCCTGTGTGCGCAAAGATGTTTGACAAACCCAAATGTCCACCGGCAAGCAAATGCTTACATCAAAGGGTAAACTTAGTGGATGGGGAAACAGTAGCCATTAAAGACAATGGTAGAAGGCCGGGCGCTGTGACTTGAGCCTGTCATCATAGCACTCTGGGAGACCAAAGTGGGTGGATTGCTTGACCTCAGCAGTTCAAGACCAGCCTGAATAAGAGTGAGACCCTATCTCTAAAAATAGCCAGGTGTTGTGGTGGGCACCTGTAGTCCCAGCTACTTGGGAGGCTGAGTCAAGAGTATCGCTTGTGCCCAAGTGTTTGAGGTTGCTGTGAGATACGATGCCACAGCACTCTACCAAGGGTGACAAAGTGAGACTCTAAATAAATAAATAAAATACAGACAATGGTAGGATAATCACACAGCAATATACTCACGGGCAATCTAAGGGAAAAATAATCTCATGTGCTTATAGGTTATAATATTGGTTGGTGAGAATTTGAGAAAACAGACCAGGTGCAGTGGCTCAGACCGAAAGCTGAAGACACTTAGCACTCGGGGAGGCTGAGGCAGGAGGATGGCTTGAGGCTAGGAGTTTGAGGTTGCTATGAGCTAGGCCGACACCAGGCACTCTAACCTGGGCAACCGAGTGAGACCCTGTACACTCCTGCCCCCCCCCCCAAAAAGAGAGAGTATGAGAAAAAAGACATACATCACTGAGACCAGGACTCAGTGTGTCAGGGAGAGTCCAGAGAAAACTTAAAATCTCTTACCTTGGGTGGAAGTTTCCCTCTAAAGTGCCCCAGGCCACAGAGGTAGGACGACCTGTCTCCACTTATTAGGAATGGTGGTGTCAAGGACTTTTAATCTGAGAAGGTTTAGAATGGAGTAAACAGCTGTTGACATAAACCCACCCATGTTATTAATAGTTTTGTGGCAAGTTTAGGGACAATCTGTGTGACTTGGTATTTAACTTCTGCAACATTTTAGAGGATTTAATATATAAGAATAGCTGTTGGATTAGTCCAGTGATCCCAATATATGTGTAACTATTAAGTAACTGATTTTAGACCTAGGATTTTAAAAACTGTAAGAGAATTGTACTAAGTTTTTAACCAGTATCAGAGTATTTAAAATAATTACAATTAAATTTTATACAGGGTAGCCATAAAGTTCATGTGCAAAATTGCACATTTATTAGATTTATTTACTATGATCAAATATTTGAGAAGGTTTTATTTTCCTAAATAAATATTTTATTTTCTTAAGTAAAAGTAAATATACCTTTATATTAATTAGTTAATTTTTAAAAGTAAAAATAATTTTCAGTTTTGAATGAATCAGGCCTGGGCCATTAACTAAATCAGAAGTGCAGTTGTAGAAAATGTCCAGCAGGGGGAGCCCAAATACAAGATAGGACAGCAAAAAAAAAAAAAGAGGGTGACGAGCGTTCAAATGGAGTGGGGAACTTTTAAGGTCCCCACCACTTGTCCAAAGCCCTGGGGCATATTTCCAAGCCAACATTAGATGGTTTCATAATTTTAAAAACTCATCTTTTAATTTGTTCAAAAGAATTCAGTAATGACTGTTTTAAAAATCTGGTTGTCAGACACTTTTTGTGGTGACCAGGTACACAATTTGGCCAGATTCTCTGTTGGTGTCTCTATGTCAGGCCAGGTTTTCCTTTACCTGTTAAATCTGATGATGTAATAGCTATTGGGAGAGGACGTGACTAACATATGGTACATCCTTGCAATAAGAATCCCCTCCCCCCCAAGGAAGAATGAGCCAACCAGACACGTGTACAATGTATCCAAGAGATGGTGTCAGGTGAAGGCAGCAAGTTGCAGGTTCCCTGGGCTTAGAAAAAAGGGACATGTGATGTGTGGATCACCTTCCTGGGGGACAACCCAAACCACCAAAGATGATTCTCTGTGGAAGATGTGAACGGGGAGACCGGAAGACTGGCTCCCTCTCTGTGACTGTCTGTAGCGTGAGTTCCCCACGGTGTGCATATTTTTGAATGTGGGTTCTGTGACAGCGGTGCTGACATCTTCTCTATGTCCTTTTTAATTCACAGGGCAGCAGTGTCTACTCAAAGAGCAGCCCCACTTTATGCAACAGGAAGCGCCAGCCTTATCACCCTCCTCTTGCTGGCTCTGGTTTCAGGAACTCAGATGTAACTAGGGAGTCAGCTGTGCCTTTCTAAGCAGCCTCCTGCAGCCCGCCAGTGCCCACTCATCATTCCTCTTCTGGGTAC